CGGTGTCTATGTACAGGTACAGGGTAGGTCTAGGGATCGAATCTCACTCAGCACACAGGGTCAATGTACAGGGTTAGGGCACAGGTCTAGGGATCTCTGTGACTGCAGTACAAGGTCAACTGGGTGAAACCGTTTCACTGAACAGCATTGATTACTCCACCTGCGTGAAGGATTGACTGTCAGCTTGCCTTTCCTTCTTCTTTCCTCTCAGGTCTACTGCTTAAGCCTGTCGTATAAACAATAAAAACAAGAAAGAACAGGACGCCATGGAAGCTACAGTATCTGAATCCAGGCTCCACTCATTATGTGGCCTGTGATAGAGCTGGTCCTTCTGCTGACTGAGAACTCTGCCTCCTCCTCCCTGTTTCTGACTTGCCTCCTCCTCCCTGTTTCTGACTTGTGCCAGTCCTTCCACCTTATGCGAGAGTCGATTATCTCCGCCACATGCATTCTATTAGGCCGATTTCCAAATATTCAATACTTGTTTTAGGATTGAAAACAAGTATTGAAAACTATCCAAGGCTGGGAGGTGGAGACTCTTATTTCCCTAAGCCGGATTTTGCTGGAGGATTTCCCGTTCTTGGTCGTGTGCTAATGCCACAGCGAAGGAGGTGAACATAGCATGGGAGCTCCCCTCTAACATCCTTCCTTCCAAGCGGTATGCTTGATCCCGACTTGCTGTGTGACTAGGATGCCCCAGTCCCCCGCCTCCCATGTGAAGTCCTCCTTCATTAGAGCTTCCCATGACTGAGAGATGCTCTGCGGCATTGCTTTCAGATTCATGGCCTAATGGTGACACCCTTTTAGTTTCTGCCTGAGTTCCTGATCTGTTAACCAGTCCTTTTTATAGGTCCTGCTGTATTTCCCACACACCCTTCTCGATCCATGAGAGCATCTTTTGTCAGCTGACCTTATGATTATTATTTCTTCTGTGGTTAGCTGACCTTATTATTGTTATTTTATTATTATTATTATTATTATTATTATTATTATTATTATTATTATTATTATTATTATTATTATTATTATTATTATTATTATGTCTGCAGTGACCCACTTCATATGCCTCGTTGAACGTCTAAGGGCCTTGCCAGGCCACAACTCGGCCTCAGGCCGCAGGGGAAAAAAACCTCCTGAAGTGGTGCCAGGGCCTGAGCGCCCGGCAGTTGACTTCAGTCAGCTGCCTGAGGCCCAATAGCCAAAGTCAATATGGACCATGCCCAGGCCGCCGGTCAGACGCACACACTTGTTCGTATGCAGGTACCAAGACAGCATTCGTACCAAGTGGAAGTCTGCAACTGTATGCAATCCAGGCCCTCGGCTGTGAGTCAATCTGAGCCACCGTGAGTGGGAGACCTGTGGCAGGTCAACTTGGTCTATCACTACATAAGACCCTGCCTCCAGGAAGTCAGCATTCAGTCTTGGTATGCTGACTTGACACTGCCTCGACACTAGCTGGACGCTGGCTTGACGGTAGCTGGAAACTGGCTGGACGCTGGCTTGACGCTGGCTGTGTGGACGACGACGCGGGACTGAGGCAGTATGCTGGCGCCTTCTCTGCTGAGCGCCAGCCTCTGCTGCTGTGGCGCATGCCACCTGTCTTCATCGCTGATGTGGCATTGGCCATGCTGTCTACATTGGGTGACTGGAAGCGACAAGGAGGGAGATCAGGATCTGTGGATGATTGAGGAGGATCAGGATACTTACCTGAGGTTGACGTCGATACTGTGCGCTGCTGATTGTCTCCATCGTCTTCACGAGAGAACTGTGCCACATGGCACTTCGATATGATCAGAACCTGTCAGACTCGTTGCTGGATACTGTTTGCTGACATGGAGGCGAGGGGAAGCCCGGAGAAGGAGTGGGAAATGTTGGGCAACTCTCTTGGTGGTCATTGATGGTTATTATCTCTTCCACCCTCTTATCTGTCTATTCCCCCTTCACTCTCTTCGTCTACTGGAAACGAGACATTGTATCAGAGATCACATTCACAATTATTGGAGACATTGTTCAGATCTGAGTTATCTTGTATTTCGACGTCTGGCGAGTACCTTACAGACTGGTTTCATTACATATCATTATCATTATTATTATTATAAAGAAACAGGACCTTATGGTCCCGGCTCCATGTCCATTCTGAGGCGTGTCAGCCCGGTTCCTTTTTTTTTTTTTTTTTTTTTTTTTTTTTTTGCGAACAGGCAGGGCCTTACGGTCCTGGCTCCTTCTATTCTGGGGAGCGTCAGTCCGGTTCCTATTCYACCGGCAAGTCAATATAAACATTACAACAAGTACTTTCACTCACGCTTCCTTCCGTCTGGCCGAAGGACCCCTGGACAGCATTGATTGCTCCACCTCAGTGGAGGATTGACTGCCAGCCTGCCCATCCTCCCTCTTCCCTCTCAGACCGGACAAATAGGTCTGCCAAATTTCATCGCTGAATCCTAGAAAGAGTCCCTCTATTGTGGTCATCAACCCGAGCCCTTCCCATTCCTCCTGTTTTTTCTTTTTGCCTAAGCAACCATTAAACCCTGAACCCTAAACCCTCGTCCTTCTTAACTGTACCCCGATATACCAATCCCATTCAAAGATCGCCTTCCTCATTGCTCCGGGACTCTTTGCTTTGACCCTTTTACTTCCCTTGTTCGCCTGCGTTACCAGCTTGCTTCTTGGTCCCCACCGCTGTACATCAAGAGTAGTGTCCTGAAAGCAGAACTGTCTCCGTTAGAAACTGAATCGAGGGTACCACTCCCTGATACCGTGCTTTGCTGATTTCTTCTAGAAACGGAGTTGTGCCACCCCTTCCTTCAGATAGGATCCTTCCTCAACTCTGCAACCCTCCCCCCTGCCAACCATGTCCTGATGAACTTGTCTCTAGCCTTCTTCCGCTGCTCTTCGTCGTCTGTCCCTGTTCTCTTTATCTTCTTCTATCTGGATAGAATTTCTGCCTGTGCCAGAAACTTTGTCACCTCCCAGACTCTCTCCCGTGCGCTTGCAGCCTCCACAATCGTTCTGCTGCTTCTTTCCTTCCATTTGACCCAAGGGAGGTCTTTCTGGTGAGCTCAAACCAGATCCTTTCTGTTTTCCGTGGTCAATTAGGGATGCCAATCGAAAGGAGAAGTAAATTCTCCTCTCTTTCTTTTAACACTACCCCATATCTGTTCCCTGATATCCTCATCCCTCCTCTCTCCATTTGAAGCGAAGCTGTACGCCTCTGGGCT